TTTGATAAATCCCTGTGCCACTGGTGCTATTAACTGACAAGGGTAGCACTAATTTAGCATACTTCTTCTTTTGTTTTTGTTCATTCACCCCCCACCCCCCTGTTTTATTTTACAGTTTGTAAACGATATATAGGGATTTTAACCTAAGCTAATTAAAAGTTATATTTTATTTCATTTTTCTATCAGGGTCCCCCTCCCGCCGGGCTGGATGGAGAGGAAGGGGTTAATCACTTACCTTTCTCCAGTGCTGGGCTCCCTCGGTGCTGGAGACTCTCTGCCTCCTTTGCCCGTCATCGGCTGAATGCGCATGCGCGGCAAGAGCCGCGCATGCATTCAGCCAGTCCATAGGAAAGCATTCTCAATGCTTTCCTATGGCTCTGGCGTCTTCTCACTGTGAAAATCACAGTGAGAAGCGCAGAAGCGCCTCTAGCGGCTGTCAATAAGACAGCCACTAGAGGCTGGATTAACCCATTTGTTTACAGCAGGCAGGGTTAACCCTAGATGGACCTGGCACCCAGACCACTTAATTAAGCTGAAGTGGTCTGGGTGCCTATAGTGGTCCTTTAATAGGGTATCAAGTTGTACAGCGGAGTGTGTCTGGGTAGTTGTAATTTCCTTCTCTTTTCATATATTAACTTACCATTATTTTATACAGGAATGACAGAAAACTATATTGTGTTCATAGAACAACCGATAAAAATTGATGTTTTTAAAATGGTAACTGGGAACGTAACCGGGACATCTATATCTAAATGTCTCAACTGGGATCCAAGTTGTGAAGTGATATTTCACGTGGCAAATAAACACGGCGGAGAGGTATTTCAGCGCAAAGTAGTTTAATTTGTTACGCATATTTATTTGGTACCAAGAATGCAGTTATTTTGGCAAGAATATTCACTTTTGAAAATGTGTTACAGTTGGAATTAAAGGATTATTTGTAAAGATCTAACATTTTAGCAGATTTTTTTAGGAGCATTTTAGGTTTAAAATGTTCTTTAGAAAATAAATGATGATGTGTATGATGGTTCTCTAGAGAAATGTTGACAGAAATATTCTATCACTTTTGACATATTGGCATATTCTTAAGACACAATATGTGTTGTGGCACAGCCTTGGCATTCTATGCAAATTAATAGAGTTCCATGCTGCCATGGTTTACATGGATTATAGACCTCAACAAAGAATTATGATGAACATGGGAACATATTCCAGTTTGTTGCTCACTATATTCCACCGCCTAAGATATTAAATTAAAATAATCAGGTGGTTGTTTTTAAACCTCTTGTTTTTGATTAATGAATGTATGAGAAGTATTTTTTTTTCTTGTGATGCTTTATTATCATTATATCCAGGATGCCTATTTAATTGTTTTTATCTTTGTTTCTTTACAGTTACATCCCGTGACTTTCCATGCCCAACCCTTCTCATGCTATCATCAGATTAACGCTTTTGAGGATCAGGGATGCATTGTGCTCGATATTTGCTGTCAGGAAGATGGAGAGGTTCTAAAGATTTATACTCTGCAAAACCTGCGTAAATCTGGGCATGCTTTAGATGAGGTACAGGGTAAATAAAAATAACTGTATGTGTATGTATGTCATCTAGATTATGCTAAATTTAGACAGAAGGCTAACAATGTATTTGGTGCTGGGATGGAGATATCCCAGACTTCTGTGAAGATTGGCGAATGATGGACTAGTTTGAGCTTATGGTGTCTACACCTAGTTTTAGATTTTAGCTTTAAGACTATTAGAGCATATAGAGTATCACAAGAAATAATGTTTGATAGTCTATATTATAAATCAGCGATGGCGAACCTATAGCACGCATGCCACAGCTGGCTCACCGAGCCCTCTCTGTGGGCACACAGGGGCACACAGGGGCACACGGCATACGGGGTCCTCGCGATCACATGACCGGAATAGCTGGCTTATGCAGTGCCTGCCTGAACTATCAGACGGTCCCCCTCATGCTTGTAAAAAAATGGACACACTATTGGCGAGGTCCCTCCGACCGAAGCAACGAGGCACACACATCACAAAAATTAAGGACATAATGGGCAAATATCACACTAACCCCACCGATACCGCTAAAGTCTTCATGGACTACTATACTACCTTATATAACCACTCAAAAGGAGACTCTCAGGGTGCCCGCGACGAGACGGGCGGACACAGGAATTTCTGTCTCAGATAGAGCTCCCTAAACTCCTTGAAGCAGATGTGGAAATCCTGCAACAACGGATCTCGGCTGATGAAGTGGACGCAGCTATATCGGCGTTAAAAAGCAATAATGCACCAGGCCCGGATGGCTTCGATGGTAGCTATTATAAGATCTTCCATGAGGAACTTGTACCTCACTTGGAGACTTGGTGCAATGATTTAATGGAAGGGAGCACACCGGACGGGGATATGTCCCTGGCAGACATAGTTCTACTACCGAAACCTGGCAGGGATGAAGAGATCCCTGGGAACTTCCGCCCCATCTCCCTGATAAACCATGACTCTAAAATCCTAGCAAAAGTGCAGGCAGACTGAATCCGATGCTTTCCCGACTGGTCCACCCGGATCAGGTGGGATTTATACCGGGAAGACAATTATTTGAAAATACAAGACGCAAATATTGACCTGATTTGGAAGCAGGCCACCAGGGCCACGCCGACCTTGATCCTGTTGCTAGACGCTGAGAAGGCGTCAAATGGTTATATTTATTTGAGGTCTTACAACAGTTTGGCATGCTGGCCCAATTTATCACCGCAATCCGGGCCATGTACACTAACTTGAAGGCGCGAATACGGATTTAGGGTGCGAAGGTCACCCCGTTTCACTTGAGCAACGGCACTTTACTATTCGCTCTATCCCTAGAACCCTTGTTACAGAAGATACGCGCTTCCCCGGGTGTAGAGGGAGTTGCAGTGGGCAGACAGCGATATGTGGTTTCCGGATTTGCAGACGACATGCTTCTAACAATAACAGACCCTAAAGACTCTATGGTAGCATTGACAAACATATTACAGACATATAGTGATCTCGCTGGTTACAAAGTGAACCTGAACAAATCTAGCGCACTTCCCATAGGCATGACTGAGCTGACGGAACCTACATAGGAACGACCTACCACATACATATAGCTCGGGACTCCATCAAATATCTAGGCATCCGACTGACGGCCGACCCAACTCAACTATACCAACATAACTACACCCCACTGATCCGTACTTTAATGGGGGATATGGAATGGATGGCTGGACAAACCTATCTCATGGATCGGGCGGATTCACTCCGTCAAAATGAATATTCTTCCTAGAATACTTTTTCTATTCCAGGCCCTCCCGGTCTGAGTGACTAAATCTCAATATTTGTGTTCAGCGAAGTCTCCCGAGTATAACAGTACCCCTCATATACAGGCTTTATGGTGTTTTCAAAAGTAAGTGAGTCAAATATATGGCTTGAATTTTCTTTTTTTTCACATTGAGATTTGCCAGTTTGGTTATGTTGCCTTTGAGAGCGTATGGTAGCCCAGGAATGAGAATTACCCCGATGATGGCATACCATTTGAAAAAGTAGACAACCGAAGGTATTGCAAATGGGGTATGTCCAGTCTTTTTTAGTAGCCACTTAGTCACAAACACTGGCCAAAATTAGTGTTCAGTTTAGTTCTTTGCATTTTTCACACACAAACAAATTATTTAATGCTTTCCTATGGGGATTCCCGCGACGCTTGAGGTCCTCATGCATAGCGTGAGGACATCCAGTGTCTTTTAGATGAGTCGTCTAAAAGTCGTCTAAGAAGCCGGAAGATCCTCTAGTGGCTGTCTACCAGAGGACTTAACCCTGCAAGGTAAATATTGCAGTTTGTAAAAACTGCAATAATTACACTTGCAGTGTTAAGGATGATGGGAGTTGGCACCCAGACCACTTCAATGAGCTGAACTGGTCTGGGTGCCTACAGTGTCCCTCTAAGGCTTTAGTACATTTGTATGTGTTGCCCTACTTATCCATTGCTCAGCATAGATGCCACCATGCGTTTATGCAGTCACAACTTGACTGTCACAGCTTTATTTAAGGGAGTGAGAACATGCTCTTGTTTATTAGGATTCCTCAATTCTCCTTTTACGGCTCCATGACTTTAAAAAGAAAGACTCTCCCATCTAGCAAACAGGAGACATGTATGGAAGCCACAACGGATGGCGTTCACATTTTAGAGATGGTTTCTTTCTGAATGAACTGACATAGTAGAGGCTGTCTTTTCTGCCAATACTATATCTGTAAAATTTGGTGAGAAATTATTTAAATGAGTCTGCAGCAAAGGATCCTGGGTCTGGCTTTCAGAACAGCTTTGTAAAGTAGGGGCTGCTCTCCCATGTAGGACATCTAACACGATTATTAAGTTCTTTCAATATTCCTGTGTTACTTCTTCTATGAGACTAGCAGAAAAGAGATGAGTTTTCTACGTTAGTATATAGGCAGGAAGACCCATGGATGGTTTTGGAATTAGACAAGTGGCAGGTGAGTTTCCAAAGATTTTGTAGGTCTGGTGTAAGACTGCATTATTGATTTATCTATATTTTGTCTTTGACAGGTATATAACACAGCCCCGAACTCTCTTCCTCGCAGATATGTGTTTCCTCTGAATATTGACTGCGACTCTCCACAAGATGTAGACTTCAATCCTTTGAGTTATACAACTGCTTCTGTTGTAAGAAAAGCTGATGGGAAGGTAATAACTATTGCAAACCAATATAGAGGCAGCAATGGGGGCTATTTATCAATAAAGTATTTATAACACATTTCTGTATCTGCTGTTGTTTTAGAAATAAAGCAGAAAAACAACTTGAGTTAATATTTATTTGTGCTTTAGAACAGAAAATTAATAACATTTCTTCTTGGATCAAGAAGATAATGTGAAGTAGTGTCTGCATTATTAGTGCCCTGAGTAGTGTGCTCTGATGTTAATATATATATATTTGGATTTGATTCAAGAGAGTTTGATTTATCAAATTCAGTACATGTGTTAAAAAAATGTTGTTTTTGTTTTTATATATATAAATATATAAAAACAAAAACAACATTTTTTTTAACACATGTACTGAATTTGATAAATCAAACTCTCTTGAATCAAATCCAAATCCCACATTCATATTGTTCTTATTATAATAAAGTCTTTTAATAAGTTTCAATGGATGACCCCTTGTTTTTTGTTATGCAGACCAGTCAAGCCACAAAGTCACACTGTGTACTACACGATTTTTGCCTCCGTCCTTCTGACACCAGATAACAGAGCTGAGCAGGAGTGAATGTGTAGCACCAGATCATGATTTCACGACATGGCATTTAAATCGATACAAAAATAGCATCACATCAGCATTGTCTACACTTTCTTTTAGGTGTGGTGCACACATGAGAATCTCTATGACTCTACCCTGGAGGATCTGGGAGGCTTAGAATTCCCTGCTATCAACTATTTGAAATATAACACCAAGAAGTATCGGTATTTTTATGGATGTGGTTTACAGCACTTTGCAGGCACCTCTCTTCTTAAAGTGGATGTCGGGACCAAGCAAGTCATGGTAATCAGCATTGTGACACATTTGACCAATCCTTTTGTTTTAGTTGGGTTTGCTCTACTGCGATGACCCATTTCAACCAGGGCCAGATTAAGAGCCCATTGGGCCTGGTGCTGACAGTTATGATGGGCCTAATTACAGAATCTTATCGACCAAAAACACTAAAACAACCATACCTCCCAAGCGTCATGTATCTGATTTAGATGGTGTTGGAGGGAAACTCAAAGGATGCAGCTATACGAAAACACATACTCTATGCTAATCTCTAATTCATGCTTTCATCTTTCAATCCATACCCCCTGACAGCAGTGTCCGGTGAAGCAAGAAGTCAATGTGCAGTGTAAAAGAGTGTGGCACTGGCACAAATCACGTCACCAGACCTGCCAAAAGGGGTGAACATGCCCCAAAAGGGGGCATTTTTGTCCAAAGAATTGGAAGGCCAGCCTGGCATGAATGCAGGCTGTCCAATTAAGGACATACTATGCAGGCAGCACCCTGAACTTGACATAAATGCATCAAATGATGCGCCTACTCCACGCTTTCTAAGGACTGTCCCCTAGCACTCACATGTCCACTTGTCTCATTACCTTCTTACTAGCAGGCAGAAGTTCCTGGTATATAGTCTGGGACAGAGAAAATGTGTATGTAGTGAGTGTAGAAGAAAAGGGACATGCCACAGTGTTAGAGAGACCAAAGTTTGCATTATCTAAATTAATGTTGTCAGCCAGTCCACACAGGTTTTGTTCCCATGCATCCCTCTTAAGCTTCCAAACTTAAAGGGACACTATGGTCACCAGAACAACTACAGCTTATTGTATTTGTTCTAGAAAGTTCCAGGCTTTTTGCAGTAAACACTGTCTTTTCAGAGAAAATAACTCTGATGGCCACTCCTTAGATGGCTGCTAGAGATGCCTCCTGGGGCAGTACTGCCTAGTGTGCAGCACAGCCATTCAGTGTCTCCACCCTCTGTATGCAGACACTGAACTTTCCTCATAGAGATGCATTGAATCAATGTATCTTCATGAGAAGATTCTGATTGGCCAGGGCTATGTTTGACTTGTGGTGGCTCTGCCCCTGATCTGCCTAGTTGACAGTCTCAGCCATCCTATGGGGAAGCATTGTAATTTGCTCAGACCACCACTTCTGATGATGTCAGCAGACAGAGTCAGTTCAAAGGCAGACAGGGACAGAGCCAGCAGCTGCAGACATGAATACAAGTAAGAGTTTACTATATTTAGGGAGGCAAGAGGCGGCCAAGGGGGGCTAAATGGTGGTTTTAACATAATAAGGTCAGAAATACATGGTTGTATTCCTGACCCTGTAGTGTTCCTTTAAGCAAGAGTATGTGAAGAGTAGTTAGGGTTTCCACCTTTCTTGGAAAAAAATACCAGCCTTATACATTTGTATAATTAATTAGTTATGCGTGACATCACATGATATAAGTCATAAGGAGTGACATAAGAGAAAATTCTGTAAAATTACCAACAAACTACTCACAGTTGAATTCTGCTGTATAGATGGATTGCTCCCAGTGTCTCCCTGTCTCCCAGTGTCTCAGTCTCGCAAGTCACCTAGTCTCTCAGTGTCCCTATGTATCACAGTGTCAGTGTCCCTATGTCGCCCAGTCCCCTAGTCTCTGTGTCTCAGTGTTCCCATTTCTGTCAGTGTCCCCATGTCTCACTGTGTCCCCAAGTCACTGAGAGACCCGGGGACACTGAGACACTTGGGGACACTGGCAGACATGGGGCACTTAGACACTTGGGGACACTGGGAGACATAGAGACACTGAGTCACTAGGGACACAGACATGGGGACACAGACACTGGGAGACTAGTGGACATTGGGAGACATGGGGACACTGGGTCCCTAATGTCTCAGTGTCTACCAATGTTCCTATGTCTCTCAGTGTCCCCATTTCTCCCTGTGTCCCCTAGTGTCTCAGTGTCCCCAGGTTTTACAGTATCCCCTAGTGTCTGTGTCCCCATGGGTCCCCTAGTTTCTCAGTGTCTCCTAGTGTCTCAGTGTCCCCATGTCTCCCTGCTGCCTTTCCCCCCATCCCTCACTTACCTGAGCTGCAGAGGTACTGTCTGGACTCTCTGTGCTGTGTAGCTGCTCCCCCACAGATCAGTGAATAGTAGAGAGAGGCAGGGATATGCTGTAACTTCCTATCCCTGCCTGTCCCCACACACAGTGACCCCTACTGGCCGAAGCTGGTATAGCAGAGCAATTTCCATTTATACTGAGAAAAATACCTGCATTTGTATTGTCGGTATTACTGCAATACTGGCACTGGCCAGGCAGCCTCATATACCAGCTGTGCCATTAAAATACCAGTTAAGTGGTCAACCTAAGAGTAGTGTGTAAAAAAAAAAAAAAAGTACAATTTTTTTTTTTTTTAAATGGGCCTATTCCATGGGCCTGGGCCTGGAGCTGCAGCTCCATCAGCCCCTATGTTAATCCGGCCCTGATTGCAACCTAGCATCTAATAGCTGATATGTGCAGAGAATACATATATATTTTTAAAGAAATTGCTTTTGTGTTATGGTACATTTTTTAAAATTAGTTGTAAAATAATAATCCTCTGGTTCCTGCACTCAGGGAAAAGGAACATACATCACTTGACAATAATTTTTTCATTTAACCAGCAAGCAAACACTTTTAAGCAAAAAGACAAACCAAAATAAAGCAAAATAAAAATTAAAAAGTATGTAATAAATGTTTTTAAACTTACTATAAGGTGGGTTGGATTGCATTATTTAGTGACAACAGATCACAATCACAGCAACTACAACACATATGCTGAAGTTGCAGTGATATTCCTATGCAAGCACATTTTGTAATAATGGATGGAGTGACTGTTTTGCTATATATTTATGAGGTTCAAGAATAGGTGCATGATATGACACCAATTGAGTGGGCGAATCATAAAGGTTTTCATTACATAGATCAATAGATTCAATAAAGAATATCTATAAAAATTAAGGAAGAATACATCACAATTAATACACAACATTGAGGTCTACACTCTAGGCTGTAAAGCTCCGGTCAGCCTTTGGCCATGAGTGAATTATGCACGTCTGCTTACCGGATGAAACTTCTGATAAAAAAAACGCAAGTCACAAATTTTATAATTGTATGTAGAAGACTACATGCGAGAGTGCAGCTTACAATATATCAGCCCACTCAGGAGTGTCCTGAGTCATTTGACAAGACACCTGCACTTTGCCCAGAATATTGCAACATCATAGGATACTGATATATACATACAATCAGGGCCAGCACCACCGTTAGGTGAACTAGGTGGGCTCCCTCTGTCTGGGGCTGCAGCTCTGGGTGAGCGGACGTATGTGGGAGTGACGGTGGGTGTTAAACTTTTGTGACCCCCTCAAATACTGGATTATAGCAATTTTGTGTGCATGGTAAATGATATGTGTATGGTTTATTGTTCACAAAAAAACATGACAAATATTTGCATTTCCTGGGTTTTAAGGTATGGCAAGAAGATGGCTTCTACCCTTCTGAGCCAGTATTTGTACCATGTCCAGATGCGAATGAAGAAGATGATGGTGTGATCTTGTCTGTTGTTGTCTCTCCACGGCAGGTTAGTATTGAGAATGTCACATCTAACAAGTCTTTACACAAGCAGTGAAATTTTGCATTTGCAGACAATATACAACCGCTGTTGTTGAATTAGGCAATTTATATGAAAACATCACTCCTGGACATGAAAGTATTCAAATCCTGGACCAGAACTTGCACAGTCCATGGTTGGGTTTTGGTTCTTTTTGATCACATCCCAGGATTTTCTTTTCCAAGCTATATAGCTGTGTAGATAACGGCTGATATATCCCAGATTGCTTAGCCTGTTTCGGACTGATAAGCATCTTGAGATATATCTATTCTAATTCTCATGCCAGCTTTGAGTTACTACCGCTATACCGGATGCTCTGTGATTCCCAAGATGCTCTGTGATTCTGTGCCAACTTTATATTTTGTTTCATTTCAGGAGAAAAAAGCATCTCTGCTCATATTAGATGCAAAAAGCTTTATGGAGATGGGAAGAGCTGTAATTCCTGTAAAGTTGGCATATGGACTTCATGGACTCTTTGTGCCTCAGAAACCTTGAATTATTTTTTTAATAAGGGGTTTAAATACAATGTTTTGTTAATATATATTTACAATATAGCTTCAAGCACAGGGTTTTCCAAAGTATGGGTCGTGACCCACTGGTGGATACCCAGCTAATTTTTGGTGGGTCGCAGTGACCCACGCATCTATGGCCGCCAGGGACTCGGGAGAGGTGCGGTGCCCCTCTGTGACAGGGAAAAATCACCCTCACCTCCTCCCTCCACTGTCACCCTCACCCCCCACACTCTTACCCTTACTTCCTCCCCACACCGTCACTCTCACTTCCCCCCACACTGTAACCCTCACTTCACCCCCACACTGTCACTCTCTCCTCCCCCACACAGTCACTCTCACAATTTTACGCATCTAAAAATGATTGCCCTGGTGTGCCAATGTTATGCCTCTATAGCTGATTGTCATGGTGTGCCAATTGTTTGCTTCTAAAGATGAATTCCATCATGTGCCAGTTGTATCCCTCTAAAACTGATTGCCATGATGTGCCAATGCTATGCATCTAAAAGCTGCCAAGATGTGGCAATGTTATCTATCTAAAAATGATTGCCATGGTGTGCCAATTTTATGCCTCTCAAGTGGATTTCCATGTTGTGACAATTGTATGCCTCTAAACCTCAATAAATAAAAGAGAAGATCGGCATGTTGGCAACACACACTCCTCAAAAATAACCTCTATTCAAAGTCTTGGTGTAAAGCCTGAGGGAGTTATGAAGTTGAAATTTCAAGCATATCCTCCTATAAAATGTTTTATAAAATCATCATCCCTCCAAATCCTACATTCCTGAAAGACTTTCATCGAATATTAACTAATATAAAACTAACGGGGTTATTTAATAAAGTAAGAATCCAAAATTAAGTCAAAGTTAGTTGCAAATTTAAGGCCAAAGCAGGTGAAGTAGATGCATAGCTGACTTAGAATTTTTTTTTTAAATCACCTATTATGGCCTTAAAATTTAAATTCACTTTGAATTCTCATTTTATTGAATAATCTTGTAAGCTTGGTTTCATAATTTATGTTGTACATAGTACAAGTACAAGCTTGTGTTTGATTTAATTATAGTCTCATATTCTAAAGTTTTGATTGGTTAATGTTGTAGATTTAATTATGGTCAGTACATTAAAGTATTTGGATTGAAGCTAACTGCTGATTTAATGTATTTTTTTTTTTAAATATTCTAAAAACATAAGTCTTGGTTTAATTTGTTTGAATAAATAATCAGATATCAGTCCAATCTGTAAAAAAAAACACTTTGAAGTCTATGGTAATTTTGGTAGGTAAGACATTAATTTTAGGATAAACAGAAAACATAGATGGCATTAAAAAAGGTTTCTACTATGTTTCTACGAGTTACTATATTGGCCTAAAGTTCCTTTTGAATTCCTAACATTTATTGAATGTACACTTGCTCTTATGATAAACCACAGGGGGATGAAGACTGGCTGAGTTCTAAGCAAAGTCCTAGTTATTGCTGATATCACTGCAGAAGTATCAGATTGTGGTCTTTTCCAAATGAAAGAATTAGCAACTTTTTAGGTTCATTTGTTTAAACTATTTTATATTTGTGTCTAGCATTAACCCCTTAAGGACACATGACGGGACAGGAATCCGTCATGATTCCCTTTTATTCCAGAAGGTGTGTCCTTAAGGAGTTAATTATTATTGAAATGCAGCCTGGGCTGTTTTTTTTTTTTTTTTTTGTTTTTTTTAAATAAGTGGTGGTATAATGAATGATAGTATCATTAAATCCATTAAGACACTTTCAAGTAAAAAGGCTTAAATATCCAGTGAATCTCATTTTGATTCACATAATGATCAACATCATTTTTGAATTGTCCATTTAAAATATCTTACTTGAAGTATCCAATTAAACCAGATTAAATCTAATTTAAACTTATATATAGTATGAATGGTGGTCATAGAGGTTTGTTTGCAAGGCTAGGAAGGTTTGTCTAATTTTGGGCTAATTAGAAAAAAAACAACAAATATAGAATAACATCTGACATTCCATATGCAACTTATAACTTGAAATGTGGGAGTATTCAGAATGATTTTAACTATAAGCTGACATTTTTTGTTGTTGTTGTCAATCTTTATTGTTGATGTGCATAAGCAGAACAACCATTCCAACCATGCCCCAACAGCATTAGCAAGACATATATGGTACATAAAGTGGTATAAGTAAGACCTACACCTTAAGTGGAGTGCTAAAATATATATGCAAATGGGGTAAACTTACCTCACGTAACCTTGTTAAAATCCTTGACTTGTGATTAGTGATGTTGCGAACCGTTCGTGAACTTCCCGCAAACGGCTTGCTTCAACATGGATGCTGTTCAGGAGGTGGGAGGCTCTGGGAGGAAGGGTCTGCTGGAGATTGGCCGGGATATGTCAGCTGACCGGAGTTCGGCCCGGACGGTTCGTGGCGAGCCGTTCGCGGGAAGTTCGCGACATCTCTATTTGTGATACATATAAAAGGTAAAAAATATACAATATAGTGTAGATGGTATACAAAAGTGGATAGAATAAATGGTAGGCTACATCCCAGAGGCCCTGGTAACACGTTGTGATCAAGCGACAACAACGTGCAGGTACGCCACTACTCTTAAAATGGTGGACGTCTCGTGCTCATCTGACCCATGCAGAGAAGAGTGGGATTTGGAGAGTAAGCTGACCAAGTTTTTTGATGCCTTCTGGGTGAAGTTAGCTGCGGACTGTTGATCCTGCTATCAAGCCAGAACACATACCTCACAGTCTGGCACCTCCAGATGAACAGAGGGTAGAGGACTTGTGCACATATCCTTTTGACTAATTATTTCCACGTTGACATGTCAGCCTTGCTTGTTTAAAATAATACTATAAAATTTCTACGTGCCAAGTAAAAAAAAAAAAAAAAGAATAAATGGTAGGGAAGTAAAACACTCACATTTGAAGGAGCCTATATATAAATACTGGCTCCATAACCAGGCTTTTATGCTTTCAGGGCAGCATCACACCTCTCATCCACTTTGAGGTTCTCTCAGAGAAAGTAACTGTAAATGAGTTGATTAAGGGAGAGTGTGTCAGGTTGCTATATACAAAATGGGGGTAACCCCTAAGTATAAGATTGAGAAAAACCAGAAGACCACACGTGAAGGGGAAGTGGAGTTTAGAAAAATCCACACCAACCATACCTTCATGAAAAAGGGGGTAGCAGGGGTGGAGGGGAACGAATGACATGTAAAAGATTTATCTTCACTTCGTTTACCCACCTCCCTATTTTTTCCCTCCTAGATTTCGGTACTATATACTACATACGCCATAGAATAGCTTGCTATCCCCTCTACTAATCATAGCGGATTAGTTTCTTGTTATAGTTGATACATTTTATCCAGGTAGTAGTTACATTTGTTTGTTTCTTTTTTTCTTTATATTCTATAAAAGTTACTTTGTATCTAATATCTTAAATTTCTTTACTTTAGGGTGGGGGCCCTAAAGTAAAATAATGGAGGGGGGTCTATTGTCCTCCCCACAGCCCCCACCCCTGAGCGGCGGGTGGGGGCCCTAAAGTAAAATGATGGAAGGGGGACCTATTGCCCTCTCCCCGCTCAGGGGTGGGGGCCCTAAATACTAATAAGGGAGGGGGGACCTAATGTTCTCCCCCCTGGCCCCCACCCCTAAGTGGTGGGTGGGGGCCCTAAGTTATAATAAGGGGGGGACCTAATGTCCTTCCCCCTGGCCCCCACCCCTGAGCCAGGGCAGCACCCCTTCATGTCATTACAGTATGTCTGTATAAATGCATGTATGTCAGTCTGAATGTATGTCTGTATGTCATTATGAATGTATGTGTGTATGGATGTCAGTGTCTGTATGTCTGTCAGTATGTGTGTGTGTATGTATGTATGTCGGTGTCTGTATGTGTCTTTATGTCTTCATGCATGTGTGTCTGTATGTATGTTAGTGTCAGGGTATTTATATCGGCAGACATCTTGTGCTATGATAGAAATTAAAAGTGTATATGCTGAGTCACTTTTGAACAGAGCAGACTCCATTTTGATATTTTCAAGCTAACAAAAGACACAAGATTTCTATCTGTAAAACTAAACACTTTCCCAGAGCTAAAGGAATGCATAGTATATACAAACCAAGTGATAAGGAGAACGGGGGTTGGATAGACTGTCTAAAATGCTAATGGAATATAATCAATTCTAAACACAGACATTTGTGACAGAGAAGATTAAATAATTTAATTTTACTTTTTATATTGTATAACCTCCCATTGTAGTTTAAGGTGAAACTTAGTTTACGAACTGTCATATTAGAAATAATAGCAGGAATTGCGGACACTAAGTCTGGACAAAACTAAGAGAAAACCCTTTGAAGTGAAAGGAAACTTAAGTTATGGCAACCATAAAGATAAAGCAAAATGACGTCAAAATAGCCACCAAGAAAAGTTAACTCTTTCCTGGATAGGTATGTTTAGTGGGACAAGACTGCCCTCTATACACCAAATACTAAATGGCTATCTGGAAGGTAACCACACCTCCAGTGTTTCTTTTGGTCTATCAACTAGTGAATTTTCCCTTTAAAAAGTTAAGACAGGGAGAAAAGAGGTAGGCGAGGAATGCAAGGGTATGCAAAGGAAGCAAAGAAGTGAGCAGTCGGAAGCAATGCAGAGAGGCCTATGACAGATATCCACTCTAGGACACTCAGAAATTCCGACACACCTCCATGCAGAGAGACATCCAAATAAGTTCCTGAGACTATCTACCAATCGGATGAAATATCTACTCAACTGGTAATTATACTGGTTTCATTTAATTATTTAAATTAATTAAAATTTACTAATAGCATGATATATGACTGGATAAATCACGGTCAGATTTCCATATTTAAGAAATCTTAGTTAACTAAAGAATATATAGTTATAAACATTCCATTCTGCAGGTGGAATTAAGAATAATTATATATTAATGTGATATTATCACGTGTTAGCATACCGCTGTTTTTATCCAGCTGTATTGATTTGCTCTAAATTAACATAAGATATCTTTTAGACAAATTAAACTCTGCTTATATAACATAGTAGATTCTCTTATTGGATGGTTCCAGGAAATGACTAATGAACTGGTTTAAATGTTATTTTATTTAAAATTACATAAGAATAGATCTTAATTACCTAGGTAGATCTAGCCAGCCTTGAAAGGGTTATTCAGTTATTCTGTTAGCCAGGGTTTTATGGCCCTTCGCTGTGAAAAGCTTCGCTTTCTGTGTCTGTAAGGATACCTCATAAATCGTGTAAGTCTTGACAGAAAATGCTGTTTAGCCATTGAAACGTGTATACCCATTCCATTGTATTGCATATCATTTTATACTGGATATTCATTGATTATTGTCACACATGTTACATATTATTATTGTTAATTAATTGTTATTATAAAATAAAATCTATTTTTATAACACATTGTGATTTTATCTATATGAAATACTTTTCACTTAACACGATAACGATCTTTGGGATCTGAGAATTGAATTAGTGGGCAATTCTCACTGTTTACTATTATTATCCCATAAATATCCCCACATTAGTATGTGTCTCTGTCACTATGTATGCCTGTGTCTGTATATGTGTGTATGTCTCAGTATGTATGCCTGTATGCGTGTATGTCTCTTTCAGTATGTGTGTCTGTTAGTATGTATCTGTGTCCTTTTATATCAGTGTGTGTGTTTGTGTGTGTATTCCTGTGGGTGGTATTTGGAGGCGGACCCTGTGGGCGGTATTTGGTTGCGGGCCCCAGGGGACCCAGACCCTGAGCTGAGTTAGGGGCCCCAAAACTTCTAGTGGCAGCCCTGATTGGCACAATATGAATGCAAGTAGCAGTAGGCTGGATGCTCTAGACGTGATAACCACATAGGGGAGATATATTCACTCATAAAACGTCTGAGATGTTGCATTGATTTCTATCTTG